TGTCCAGTTTTCGCAAACGACAAGCAGGAAAAGAAGAGGGTGGCAAAGAAGAATAGTGCCAATGCACATTGATAGATTACCTGGGACATTCCACACCATATCTGAGGAAGATCTAGACTTGCCCAAAGGCAAAACATGTAAGTTGTCCATCTCGAGTCTTCTCGGATGGTGAGCCAATTAAATTATGGTGAAAAAGAAGAAGGACAAAATGTTACGAGTTATGAATGACTGTCCACCAACGTAACCAGATACTATACAGTCAGCGAGTGCGACAAAAAATTTGGCTGCCATCGGAAGCCATAAAAAAAAATTCACGGTTCGCGTGAGACTCAGCCGAAGGCCCAGTTTTCCGCATCCGCAGGAACGCCACCACCCTCTTGGATCAAGGCGCAGATGCAGCTCCTAAGTATGGGATTTTCAGTCTTTGACCACTTTGTGGTGGGTCTGATCTACTCACCTCCCACCGCTTAGGAGCTGCATCGGAAGACATCAGATGTTGAATAAATAAATAAATAAAATGGCACGAAAGATATGTATAAGAACTGGTTACGTTCGTGGACAGTTAGTCATAACTCGAAACATTTTGTCCTTCTCCTCTTTCACCATAATCTCGAGTCTTGCTCATGATAAGGCTGGGCTATTTTCAGATGTGCAGTTTGAGTGTTCTGGCTGAAAAGTGCTGGTATGCCATAGCCAGCGCGTTTGTCCTAAAGTCATAGCACAGCTGCTTTTAAAAAGTCAACGAGAATTTGCTTTCAGCCGCCATTCGACTCTCCTTGTTCGTATCGAGCTAATTTTTTGAACTCCACCGAGTCTACTGCTAGATTGGAACTGATGTTTGTTATATTTATATTTATATTTATTACAACATCTCAAGACTTGGTGGAAACACCGGCCAATAATAATTAAGAGAGTGGGTTTGTTATAGCAACAAGTGGCAAAAAGCGCAGAACAAAGAAAATCAAGTGCCCATGCAGAAAAGTCTTTGAGCGTGTGTGGATATGCGTGTCTGTCCAGTGCCGTAGCCCAATGATTTTTTGATCCAATCGCCAGCTGAGAGATATCTCTTCGACCTACATACTTTGAGTGTGAGAAATGAATACTAGTAAAACTTAGCAACGTTACAATCATTTGAACACATGCCCGTTCCAGAAATTCTCATCAATATGCAATGTACACTGATCACATGATAGAAGGTGCTCCGAGCCTGGGCATCATCTAGAATCCCGTAATAGACTAATGGTACAGGATCATCAGTGAATGTGATAAAACACACACTGCTCTGGTTTCTAGTTTCAGCTCAAAGATTCATGAAGTTCGTGTGTGCATGCATGTACACATGCATATTTGTGCAGTGAGGGTCTGCTCGCATGCATGCTTCTGCAACCTGCATGTGCAGGGGCGTCGGACACGGTACGGTCACTACGGTACTGACCGTACCACTTTTTGCCCCAGGTATCCCGTGAATCAATATTATAATACACCGTCATCTGGGCTCTAAATTTCAAAGTTTTTCGGCTCGGCCTCCTCTCCCACACGAGTAAATTGTACTTCAGATGGCTGACCGTACCACACTAAAATACCTTCCGACGCCCCTGAATTGTGTATACACTTGTCCAATAGCTGTGCATACACACATGCCTGATAACTTCTGTTTTCTTCTACTGTTTTGCCTGTTGGCAGGTACTGATGCAAGGTTGCACTTACCACGTTCTTCCCATCCAGGATCAGACACGACCAGAGCTAACACCGTGCTATTTCACAAGGACCAGCAGGCGCATATGCCCAATCCCAAGACTGGGAGGAACCGTCGGCATGCACGAACAGCCAGTGCCGGTAATGTTGAACATGTCAGACGTCGACGGACAATTGGTCAAGTTGTGCCCCGCTACCACGATTATATGATCTTCGATAAAATACTTCACGGTCTTGTGGGTTCTTACACAAGGAAAGTCAATGATGTTGTCAACTGTGCAGATGAGCAGCACGCCAATACACAACAACATACATCTACGGTTGGAGCGGATACGGCTGCACCATATCAGCACATTTCCCCTTCAGATGCTCGGTCACGTGCTGATCCCGCTGTCGAAAAACCCATCGATGTAGTTCGGAGAGCTGTGGAGTCTTTGAAGGACAACCTAGGCAACACATTCAGTTGTGATGCTGGAAGGTATGAAAGGTCAAGTGAATACTTGCAGGATGGTGAAATGGGCATCCTCAACACAGTATTCTCACAGAGTTTGCTTGCCCATTTTGACCCTGTTGGAGAACATCATCATCCCACCTTCTTTCCAGCCAGCAATGCACTTTGCAAGGCAGTAACACTGCTCCAATGGAAACTGGAGAAGCTGAATGCAATGCCAGAAGCAGAGCAGTTTAATGCTGGGCTTGGCAACGGTATTGATGTTGCTGCTTTGCCACTGCTTTGCCAAGCAGTGGCTCAATTAAACGTTAAACTGCAGTCAAATGCTTTCTTCGCCATGCCAATGCCAATTGCTTCCGATGCTCACGGCAAATCTGCAGCTGCTGTCAAGAAGGTAAATTTGTTGAACACTAGTGTCCCTCGGACTCCAGTTGAAGTTCCGAGTGAATCCCCTGTCACTATTACACCTGTCATACAAACTGAGGAGACCTCTGCAGATCAAAGCAGCCACATGTCGAATACTGGTGCCCCTCGGACTCCAGCTACAGTTCCGGGTGAATCCCCTGTCACTATCACACCTGTCATACAGACTGAGGAGAGCTCTGCAGATAAAAGCAGCTACATGTCGAATACTTATGCCCCTCGAACTCCAGCTACGGTTTCGAGTGAATCCACTGTCACTATCACACCTGCTATGCAAACCGAGGAGAGCTCTAACTATCAAAGCAGCTCTTTGTTGAACACTAGTGTCCCTCGGACACCAGCTACAGTTTCGAGTGAATCCACTGTCACTATCTCACCTGCCATACAAACTGAGGAGAGATCTGAAGGACAAGGGAGTGACGAGACAATCGCTTCGGTTACTGAGGATAAGCAAGGAGACGGAGTTCATCAAGAACCTGTTGAGGCAAGTCCAAAAGAAAGCATTGATAGTGATGGGATTAGTGTGACTGATGTTCCCCAGTATCGTGACTATGGTGTTTTCAATCATATACTGGTCACACTAGTGGATTCTTACATGAGGAAAGTGGAGGAAACTTCCCGGTGCGGTGATGAGCAGGACACAACCCAAGACCGACGCATGTTTCACTCTCAGTTGCCGCTTGATAGCCGCGGTGCATCAGATCAAAGCAGCTCTCCTTCAGAGACTCATTCGCATGCCAGTCCCGCTGTCCAGCAACCCAGCGATGTGGTTCACAGTGCGGTGGTGTCTTTGAAGGACAGCCTAGGCAATACGTTCAGGTGTAGTGCTAGTGGGTATGAAGGGTCAGGTGAATCTTTGCGGGAGAGTGAAATGGACATCCTTGACACAGTATTCTCACAGCGTTTGCTTGCCCATTTTGACCCTGTTGGAGAACATCATCATCCCACCTACGTTTCAGCCAGCAATGCACTTTGCAAGGCAGTAACACTGCTCCGATGGAAACTGGAGAAGCTGAATGCAATGCCAGAATCAGAGCTGTTTGGTGGTGCACTTGATAACCGTATTGACGTTGCTGTTTATGGCGGTGAGAAAAAAGATGAGATGTATCCTGATGAGCAAAGCCATGATAGCAGAATGCTTTGCAAGGCAGTGGATCTACTGAACGCTATACTGCAGTCAGATGCTTTCTTCGCCAGGCCAATGCCAATTGCTTCCGATGCTCATGGTAAATCTGCAGTTGCTGTCAAGAAGTCAAACTTGTTGAATACTAGCGACTCTCGGATACAAGCTACAGTTTTGAGTACATCCCCTGTAACTACCACGCCTGCTATGCAAACTGAGGAGAGCCCTGCAGATCAAAGCAGCTCTTTGTTGACCAAAAGTGTCCCTCGGACTCCAGCTACAGTTCCGAGTGAATCCCCTGTCACTATCACACCTGTCATACAAACTGAGGAGAGCACTGCAGATCAGAGCAGTGACAAGACAACTGTTTCGGTAACTGGGAATAACTTGGGAGATGGAGTCCATGGAGAAGTTAATAAGCAGAGTCCAAATGACAACAGTCTTGGTACTGACAAGAATGTGAATTCTAATGTGCCCCAGCATCGTGATACTGATACCTTGAATGAAATACTTGGCAAACTAGTTGAGTCTTTCACGGAGAAAGTGACCAATGTTTTCCCGTGTTCAGATGACCAAGAGAACATTATGGAACAGCATACAACTGGTTCCACCTTGCCTGAAGATAAATCCATACACGTTACTGATGACATCAGTGAGACGACAGGAACGGATAATGGTGCAGCAGATCAAAGCAGCTCTACTACATTTCCTCGTTTAAATGCTGATCTTGTCGTTCAGCACGCCAGCAGTTTAGTGGAGAATGCCGTGGAGTCACTGAAGCATAACCTGACCGTTACATTTGGTTGTGAGGATGTCCTGTATGACTTGACAGACGAGGGGTCAAGTGAATCTTTACAGGAAGATGAAATGGACGCTCTAAGCCGAGTATTCTCAGAGAGTTTGTTTGCCCATTTGGAAAGTGTTGACGGACACCAGAACACTCATCATGGACATAGCAGAGGTAAACATCGCTGTCGTAAACACCACAGCAAGGGTGGACACCACAGCAAGGGCGCACACCACAGCAAGGGTGCACACCACAGCAAGGGTGGACACCACAGCAAGGGTGGACACCACAGCAAGGGTGGACATCCCAGCAGACGCACAACTCATCATCAGCGTGATCATCGTGCCACCCCTGTACAAGCTAGTGTCACACCTGTACAAGCTAGTTTTTCACTTTGCAAAGCAGTGGTGGTGCTCCAAGAGAAACTTCAGGAGCTGAATGCATTTGCACAAAACGACGTGGAGGACCAGAATTCAGCCGAGTCATTTTCAGTCAATCATCCGATCGCATTTGAAGAGGGCGATGGTATGGCTATAGGCCAGCCAAGAGATGCCTCTGCAACATCTCCAACTAGCTCACAATCGGTCCGAGATGAGCGACCAGAGTTGATTGATGCCTGGTTTGACAACAGTCGTGAAGTTGCTGCAGGTGACGTTGACGCAAAGCGTCATCTTCATCCTGACCACCAGAAACATGTCGGCAGAATCCTTTGCACAGCGGTTGCCCTACTCAAAAGGAAGCTGAACTCTAATGCTTTTCTTGACGTGTTGACAACTGTAGACCCTGAGGTGTCAGTCACAGTTCCGAGTGAATCCCCTTTCACTATCACACCTGTCATACAAACTGAGGAGAGCACTGCAGATCAGAGCAGTGACAAGACAACTGTTTCGGTAACTGGGAATAACTTGGGAGATGGAGTCCATGGAGAAGTTAATAAGCAGAGTCCAAATGACAACAGTCTTGGTACTGACAAGAATGTGAACTCTAATGTGCCCCAGCATCGTGATACTGATACCTTGAATGAAATACTTGGCAAACTAGTTGAGTCTTTCACAGAGAAAGTGACCAATGTTTTCCCGTGTTCAGATGACCAAGAGAACATTATGGAACAGCATACAACTGGTTCCACCTTGCCTGAAGATGAATCCATACACGTTACTGATGACATCAGTGAGACGACAGGAACGGATAATGGTGCAGCAGATCAAAGCAGCTCTACTACATTTCCTCGTTTAAATGCTGATCTTGTCGTTCAGCACGCCAGCAGTTTAGTGGAGAATGCCGTGGAATCACTGAAGCATAACCTGACCGTTACATTTGGTTGTGATGATGTCCTGTATGACTTGACAGACGAAGGGTCAAGTGAATCTTTACAGGAAGATGAAATGGACGCTCTAAGCCGAGTATTCTCAGAGAGTTTGTTTGCCCATTTGGAAAGTGTTGACGGACACCAGAACACTCATCATGGACATAGCAGAGGTAAACATCGCTGTCGCAAACACCACAGCAAGGGTGGACACCACAGCAAGGGCGCACACCACAGCAAGGGTGCACACCACAGCAAGGGCGCACACCACAGCAAGGGTGGACATCCCAGCAAGGGTGCACACCACAGCAAGGGCGCACACCACAGTAAGGGCGCACACCACAGCAAGGGCGCACACCACAGCAAGGACGAACATCACAGCAGAGGCAAAACTCATCATCAGGGTGCTCATCGTGCCACCCCTGTACAAGCTAGTGCCACCCCTGTACAAGCTAGCTTTTCACTTTGCAAAGCAGTGGTTGTGCTCCAAGGGAAACTGGAGAATCTGAATGGATTTGCACAGAGCGAAGTGGAGGACCAGAATTCGGCCAAATCATTGTCAGTTAACCATCCGATCGCATTTGAAGAGGGCGATGGTATGGCTATAGGCCATCCAAGAGATGCCTCTGCAACATCTCCTATTAGTTCACAATCAGTCAGAGATGAGCAACCAGAGGTGGTTGAAGCCTGGTTTGACAACAGTCGTGAAGTTGCTGCAGGTGACGTTGACGCAAAGCGTCATCTTCACCCTGACCACCAGAAACATGTCGGCAGAATCCTTTGCACAGCTGTTGCCCTACTCAAAAGGAAGCTGAAATCTAATGCTTTCCTTCACGTTGCAGGCGACGCAAGAATTAATGACAACTTGTTGAAAACAATGGACACTGGGGCACCAGTCACAGTTCCGAGTGAATCCCCTGTCGCTGTCACACCTGCCACACTAACTTTGAAGAATGCATCAGGTCACGGCGTCCATAATGCAACTGCTCCTGAGTACAAGCAGGGAGGGCATGTACATGAAGAGAGTGTTGGCGACAGTGCGGCTCACATTGCTCACAACAGTAGCCAGAGACAGGCGTCAGGCATTGGTGTCGGTGCGCTCCACGCTCAGCAGGCACATCAAGTTGACGGCTCGGGCCTGGAGCACATGATTGTGGGCTCAGCATCCCGCGCAAACGGTAAGAACTTTAACCCATTTAAGGCTATAGGCAATAGCATCCAGGCCCTGCACTCCTTATTTGGCATTGAAAAAGACGTATAATATTATAGTATACGTCCTCAGCGTCTGGGCGCCATTTTCAATGATGTATAATATTAACCCTTTACTGTCCGATTAAAATATATACGAGCCCACGCAACCACAACATCTGAAACTAAAATTAGACGTAACTTTGGTTTGAATTTGACGATTTCCACGATCTTGGGCATCCTGGAAAGGTCTTGACGAGACGAACGCAATGAGCCCACACTCGGCGCCACAGGATGCACTGGTCCAGCGCTGCAAGCCAGGGAACGCGCAAAAGCGCTGAGCTCACGCTCGAGATCGATCTCAATCCACCATGTCACCACTGCTGCTCGTATCGAGCTCAAATATTTTCGTAGAGACTCCCGGGAACCTACTTTTGAATTTGAATCGGTGTAGCCTTGCCAACAGGTGACGTAAACAGGAAAAATCCCAGCCGTCGACATGCGCGTCGCGCTCTGAACGCACATTTCCCGGGACCAGAATTACGAGTGCGATAACTCAGCAACCGCTCTTCGTATCGCTTCGGGAATTGTTCGAGGCGACAGCTGGGACTTTTTCTCTTCAACCTACATATTTCGATCTCTCCAAAAAGACCTAGATTTGAGCAAGTTACGATACTTTCAAAATGCCTACCCCATCGATCCCATTGGATCGATGCTTGTATGTACGGACAGTAAAGGGTTAATATTATATATACGTCTTCAGCGCTGAATGGGTTGAGTGAATTTTTTTGTCATTGGGCTTACCTTGGGAGTTCACCTGCTAAATAAATTTAGAATGAGACTAAATTGTTTTAACTTAGACGCTGAGACCTAGGCTGTAGTATGTGCAGTTGCACAATGACACTTGACTAAGCTCTGGACATTGAGCGCTGCTCTCAAGATTGAGTGATACAGGTCTACGCTCATTAGTAGGACACTTTTGCCAGCTTTCACAGAATCTTTCTACGGTAGACGTACCATTGGCATACTACACCTTTGCTTTGCTTGGTGGGCGAGCGTTGCTCGGACCACACCACATCAGGCGAAATTACTGGTCAGTCGGCGACACGCATTTTTCACAAAAATTGCGTTTCACCTGCTGGGAGAGTATGCATGTACTCGAGTCTCATCCTGAGCACGTTTTTTTCTTCTTTTTTTTCAGCTCCAGTATAGCTGTATTTTTCATTGCAAAGCCGGCCTCGATTGTTGTGTTCGTTGTTCAAACAAAGTGGACATTCAATCATGAAGGCAGAGGACATAGGAGCCTGATTGGAGTTTCTCGTGGCATAGGACGGCCACACAGAGACACTTTGGGATTTTCTGAATATAAAATACCGTACGCACGATGCTGAGATCAATTTGTGCGATATCAAATTGTTTGTGATCTACCACATCGAGCAGAACGGGATCCAAACACAAGCTTACCGACGGTTAGGCTGCCGACCTGACTGGACAAATGATCCCTGGCTTCACCAGACGCCAGAAGTCGGACACCATGTCCTTTGCCGCGACGTCCATCTCCAAAAAGAACTCCATCTTCGTCGTGAAAAGTCTTGAAATACTCAATATTCAACCGAGATTCGCGGACTCACCCTTTCTCAGATCGAATCATTTTTGTTGTAGCAGTTGCAGGGCAGATCCCCGCCAATACTTCAACGGAAGATGGCTCCAAAGCATGCCTGGAACAAGCCATATCGAGGTTGCAAGCCACCCCTCTCAGCACTTTTTTTGAAGAAATTCGAAATTTCAATGGTGGAAGATATACTATGAAGAGAATTTCAAAAAGTATGTTTCGCGGAGCGTTCGCTCAACCTACGTCATTCAAACTTTGCAGGATGGTTCAGACGTACATGCTAGGCATGGAACCACAGAAGATGATATCATAGCTGACACACAGAGTCACACACACAGCAGATTCGTGTGCACAGATACTAAATTAGTGGACGTCGTCATCTTCTTCCCGCTGATCTCAAATGTACTATGACGTGCTATTTCGCCTGACGCCTGCTCGCACTCGATCCGGATTCGCCAATCGATGCCATCCCTAGTCTCTTTGCTTCAAATTCGACAAATGAGGTCTCATTGAAAAGCTTGTGAACAGAGCATTGCACTGATGTGTCACTGGATAGATCCAGGGTTGAATATACTGGAAAAGCCATTATTCTAACGGGGCGCATATATAACGGTTTCCTAAAATTGACTGGTTTACGTGTACCAAAGGTAAAGATTCTCACTCATTCTCAACGCTCAATAGCAACAGTACAGTTGAACATCGATTATCCGACCACCTCTGGGCAGACAACTGTCAGGCGGTGTTCAGATAAGGCAAATGTTCCGGATAAGAAAACACACTGTAAATACATGTACATGTACATTGTAAATAGAATAGAGTGCTACTTTTCAAAATTTTCTTATTTTTTGAATGGCTCACAACATGCACAGTGCGTACTCTACGGCACGTGTGCCCAAAAACACTGTTACGGATAATCGAATGGTCGGATAGTCGATGTGCGGATAATCGATGTTCAACTGTATTGTATCGATTTCTGTTTAATGATTTCTATTTTAACGACAGATTTCTCTTCGTTAATTCGTTCGGATTAGCACTTCGTTATAAATATGGCTTTTGCAGTACACAGTACTGAGCCATGGCAACCGCATGGCACATACTCATGCACGCATTCTGACACTTTGAAATTTAACCGCATTTCAAACAGCTTGAATGCGCTGTGTACGGCAGTTTAACCACCAGTGCAACCACTTGTGCAACCACTGTACAAGCTACTGTTGCATTGGACCAAAGCATGCAGAAGCTGAACGTTTTTACCTGGCTTTAGCTTTGCAACCATAATACGAGTGTTATGTATGGTGTTATGTGCGAGTGTTATGTACGAGTGTTATGTACGAGTGTCACAATATTACCCAGGATGAGTGTGTGTGTGTGGGGGGGGGGGGGGGTAGGACTGAGCGTACGTGGAAGAAGTCAACTAGCGGGCACACCTAATCAGGAGACCTGCCATGTGACAATACGGGGAAAACGTCAATACTCATGGCCGCTCGTACTTCTTGCAAAGATTTCGTTTGACGGACGGAAGAGAATGGTCTGGAATCATCACTCAAACTTTCACATGCAAAAAAGAGATGTGATCCGTTGGCTGGATTCAGATCCCGATCCCAATCCATATGAATCTATCGATTTGTGATGATCGTTTTATCGAATCGTCATCCAGCTGCAACAGTCCAACGGAACCAAACAAGTGACTTCACCCATTTTTTTCAACTTGCTCCAATCGCTTCGATTTTGGTCTCATTCTCCAGGGCGTAGCATAGGAAATCTGCAAGTATTATTCAAACCCGCCCAGCCTTTCTCGAGTTTTAGTGATTTGAAGTGCACCAGTTTGGACTTTCGCTGGAAACAGAAATGAATGGGCCCACGCGCCCATTGCATATTGGTGTCGGTGCGTCCTGCGCCCATTGCACATCTGTGTCTGTGTGTTATGCTCTCTTTGCACAATGGTGTTGGTGTCTTTGTTTCCTGTACTCATTGTGTCTGTGTCTGCCTGTGTTGTCTTGTGTGCTGTGCTTCATCATCAGGTGGCAAACGCAGCAGAGCAAATCAGCTAACCATTGGCCTGGGGGTGGGTGTTGGCTCAGCTCTGCTCCTCGCCTGCGCTGTCATGTTCGCTTTCCAAATGAGAAACCGAGCCGACCATGTCGGTGGCGGCAAGGCGTATGGCGGCGTGCGCACCAGCCTGTTTACCACAGACCCGGAGTCCACGTACTCCACCTTTGCCAGCAGTGCGGGCAACACGCCTCGCATCAGCAGCGCCTGCGCCACCTCTCCACGCAACAGCACCGGCATGGAGAAATGGAAAGACTTGGAGAAGGCGGTAAACGGTGCTGCGGAGATCGCCTCCGCCAAAGGCGAGGCAACCCTTCATCCCGACGGCATCAACAAACAGTTGTCTTGGAGACCACGACGGTACAGTGCCTGCCTGACTGACATGGATTATGAACGCTTAGACGCGGAGGCCACCGACGCTGTCTTCTCCAACATCGGTATACTCTCAGAGCTGTCTGACCTGCAGCAGAACTATGTTCATATCAGTGCTCGGAAGAGAAGCCGTGCTGAGTCGAAGGCGTTGGGTATAGGCAGCTTCCGCGTGAAGATGTTTGGCAATAAGCCCAAGTCCCCAGGACTGCCGGAGGTGCAGGAAGTGAAGAAGAAGAGCGCGAAAACGCGATGGTCCATTGCTGGCGTGCCTATGCTGAAGGTCGGGCAGACCCGGTATCGAGTAGACCGTGTGGAGCCGCTGGATGATTTCACAGCAGCAGGTGCTTCAAGGCAGGGAAACGAAGTGCGCAGCAACAAGCCCCGCTTCGACCGCGGATGCAACTCGGTGTGTGTCAGTAATGAGTATATGCACGCACTGGGTGAGCGCCGTCGCAGTGGGCAGCGCAACGACCGAAAACACGACCTCATGTCCAATTTGTTCCCCGGTAGCAACGGCTGTGATGAGCCCGTCGATGGGGAAACCAATAGCTATGCAGGCTTTTCACCCGCCAGACAGGGCAGAATCATGAACGGAAAACGCAAGTTTATCCGTAATGCCGAGCAGTATGGGTGCAGCGAGGGCGGCTCATCGACCGACTGGACTATCCCGCCGAGATCCGGTTCGGTCAAATCCCAGTCGTCCCATGGTCAGCATCGGGGTGGCTATAGAAAATGGAGGAGCAACAATATTGGGTCCGATGACATCATAGCGATTGACGAACGACTCGAACTGGCTTGTGGCGATGATGATGACGATGACGATGACACTGATTCAGCGCTTTCCAAGCCAACTTCACCAATGCCAAGTTCGCCTAACCGTAAGCGAATATCCGTGGTGAAGGAGCTAATGGCTACGACGGCGGCTGGACAGAATGGAACACAGGCAGAGCTGGGCAACCTAAAACCCGTCGTCACAACAACCGTGGCGGGGCCGAGGCGCCAACGCCAGCTGAAAGAATCCTCGCCCTCCGTCAGCTTGCTGGAGCTTTGTTCAGGCTTACCTGGTGATGACGACGACGAGTTTGTGGCTGAGTGTTAGCTCATCTGCCAACTTCAATTTTCTCTTCTATGTATGAGCACCCGTGAGGTCTTAACATGTACTTTATTTTCGTCCTATTTTGTAGTTGCGGGAGCTCTAGGGGCCTCCCCCCCCCACCATGTACATTTGCCTAGTAACATGCTTAGTCACCCGTACGACTGCATGCTTGCCCGACGACACATGTCTCAATGTATACCACTCCTTCCACTTTCGTCTCTCTCTCTCTCTCACTCTCTCTCTCTCTCTCTCTCTCTATTGCTATCTCTCTATCTCTCTATCTCTCTCTCTCTCTCTCTCTCTCTCTCTCTCTCTCTCTCTCTCTCTTTCTCTCTCTCTCTCTCTCTCTCTCTCTCTCTCTCTCTCTCTCTCTCTCTCTCTCTCTCTCTCTCTCTCTCTCTCTCTCTCTCTCTCTCTCTCTCTCTCTCTCTCTCTCTCTCTCTCTCTCTTTCTCTCTCTCTCTCTCTCTCTCTCTCTCTCTCTCTCTCTCTCTCTTTCGTCTCGCTCTCTATTTCTCTCTCTCATCTCCTCATTTGTGTCTCTCAATTTATGTCTAAGTCTTTTCTGCGTGCTTTCGTGTGTTGTATGCGTGCTTGGTGGTCGGTATCTGTACGTTAATATGCCAATGATGTTGGAGGTGTGTGTGTGTGGGGGGGGGGGGGGGGGGGCTGTGTGTAACGATGTGGCATGTTTGTGCGACGGTTGGTTGTGTGTAATGGCGTGGTGTGTATACGGAACTCGGCTGTTTCAAAAGATCTTGGAGTGCTTGATACCTTAGCTAGGGTGGCTGCAGACTGCATGTACTTGCAGTCCGCTCCTTTGTCATACCTGTGCAATACCTGTGCAATACATGTGTCGTAACTGTGTTTACTCGGAAAGTCACATCGTACAGAGAGACAGCACGGGTGACTGCAGCGCTTAGTGATGTGGGTTTAGAGCAGAGAGGCTATGATCTCCTGCCGTCTCGCTAGTTACAATCTCTTTGCTCCTTTCTCCTTGCTGTTGATCAACAGTCATCCTGCGGAGTACACTCAGTTTAGGTGGATATGGGCTTCAAGCAATCCTACTGAGTACACTCAGTTTAGGTGGATGGGCTTCAAGCAATCCTACTGAGTACACTCAGTTTAGGTGGATGGGCTTCAAGCAATCCTACGGAGTACACTCAGTTTAGGTGGATGGGCTTCAAGCAATCCTACGGAGTCCTGATACAAGTCTGACCATACATTGAATGGAAGATGGCTGTTCATGTACCCATTATGCTGTGTGTGCGCGTGTTCATGTGTGTGTGTGTGTGGGGGGGGGGGGGGGGGGGGGTGGGTGTGTGTCTCTGTGTCTGTGTGTGGGTGTCTGTGACTGAGTGTGTTTGTGTGTGTGTGTGTGTTTCTGTGTGTGTGTGTGTGTGTGTGTGTGTGCGGGCGCGCGCGTGTGTGTGTGACTGAGTCTCACCAGGCTCAAATTAGTGGCTGTCAATTCATCAGCCTTGCATGCCGTTGAAAAGTGTAGTCCCTGCACACGTTGCTATGTACTATATAGCTGGTCGCTATCATCGCTTCCACGATGGGCATGTCTGAGTCTGAGTGTGTAACGTTACCTGTGTGGGTATGTGTTCTTGTGTACGTGTATGTATCCGTTGTTCCGGAAAAGTGCATGCAGTTGTGTGCATGCATACTTGTCATAAGGCGTTCAACTGCCGATCAAGCATCAGGTTTGACAACAGAGCACTGATTGTGTTCTTGCAGTGCTGTGCATGAAGGCTCATATTATTATTATGTATGTGTTGATGGCAAATGCACTGCCGCGGCTACGTTGTAGAGTTGTACAGTCCCGTAGGTCTACAAGTATCAGCGGTAGATTAGTGTGGAGCATGAGTCGATATCTTCAATGATTTTGGTGACCAAGAAGAAGAAAAGAAAGGTATTGCTTCACTCTAAGAAAGGTATTGCTTCACTATAATCATGACTTTACGGGTATTGGTTTTGGAATGCATGCCTTTTCATCATTATTATTATTATTATTATTAATATTATTATTATTATAGACTTTTCCCGTTTGTCTCTTTCCCTCAAACCAGTTAATATGACTTGGGGCTCCCCGCGTGCTAGTTTGTACGTGAAGTGTGTGGGTTACAGTGAGGGCTGCGTCCCACCCGCCTGTGTGGATTCACAGGAAGTGTGAGTTACGAAATCTGAAGAAAACATTGAACGGCCTCTGCTGGGATGACGACTACACCATAGCTCAGTGGTTAGAGCATCGCTGGCTACAAGCGAGGGTCCCTGGTTCGAGTCCTGGTGGTGACAGTCAATTTTTTCTTCAGACTTTTCCCGTTTGTCTCTTTCCCTCAAACCAGTTAATATTATTATTATTATTATTATTATTATTATTATTATTATTATTATTATTATTATTATTATTATTATTATTGACTGGTTTTGAGGGAAAGAGACAAACGGGAAAAGTCTGAAGAAAAAATTGACTGTCACCACCAGGACTCGAACCAGGGACCCTCGCTTGTAGCCAGCGATGCTCTAACCGCTGAGCTATGGTGTAGTCGTCATCCAAGCTGAGACCGTTCAACGTTTTCTTCAAACTTCGTAATAATAATAATAATAATAATAAATAATAATAATAATAAAAGGGTTTGCTCCCAACACCGGAGCGCGCGCTATTCCGCCGACTTTACTTGACACTTGACTGACTCACCACTGCCATCCAGAGCACACGAGAAGTCCATCGAACATTTGACTCGGCAAACCTGCAAGAAAGCACCACTCCCTGCTCAATACACAGTGTTTCGCGGAATTCACCCCTCATCAGTTGAGCTTGAGTAGGCTGAGGAAGATTGTGCCTGAAGTCAAGAGCACCACTTATTATAGTGCTCTCCAGGCACAAACATCACCAGGGATACAAACTTACAGAGATGCTCCGTTTCCAGCGCGACAAACACCTCGTGAACACCAGATACTGAGATAGGCAGCTGCCTCGAATTGTAGTAAGACCGCTTTGTCAAATCGCCTACTGGTCTCGTCATCGTCCAGTGACAATCGACATTCTTTGTTCCGTTGGGACTGTAGCTTGTGTTCGTTTTCGTTGCGCTTGCCTTCCCCTCTTTGGTCTTTCCATAACCTTGAACCTTCCAAGTTGGAAGGCTGTCGGTTAGCGCTACGGGAATGTGTTGAAGCTAGGTGTCAGAACGTCGAATGTCTCAGTACCCTGTCAGTTTTGTGCCTAGTTGTTGCACTTTCTGACTGTATAATTATAGTATCTACAGAGGCAATATGCTTTGGTTCTGCAAGAGTGCTCAATGCCTGATTCAGGCAGAGCGGCGTACACAAAGGCACACAATGAAAACCTTGGCAAATTTGTTCCGTTGTGACTCAGAGTTTCATGGCTGAACCAATCATCAGACAACGATAATGGAATAGGAGGCAGCGCTGGTATATCTAAGTGGAGAGAGGTGTGATAATACGATAGCGAGAGGAGTAATCGCGTGAATGTATACAGGGACGGGCTATTTCAGAGGCAGATGCAGTAGGTGCAGGTCTAGCACTAACAAGTACGCGCTTAATCTCGCTCACACACCACACACACACATACTGACACGCACACACATAGTAACACCCACACACACATACACACATACACGCACACACTAACACACACGTGTGCAAGTTAGGGTGTTGTGGGTGGGTGTATGTGTGTGTTAGTGTGTGCGTGTATGTGTGTATGTGTGTGTGGGTGTTACTATGTGTGTGCGTGTTAGTATGTGTGTGTGTGGTGTGTGAGCGAGATTAAGCGCGTACTTGTTAGTGCTAGACCTGCGCCTACTGCATCTGCCTCTGAAATAGCCCGTCCCTGTATACATTCACGCGATTACTCCTCTCGCTATCGTATTATCACACCTCTCTCCACTTAGATATACCAGCGCTGCCTCCTATTCCATTATCGTTGTCTGATGATTGGTTCAGCCATGAAACTCTGAGTCACAACGGAACAAATTTGCCAAGGTTTTCATTGTGTGCCTTTGTGTATAATAGTATCTAGTTACAGTGGTGGAGAGTTACTCTAACTCGTTTCCATATGTCCTTTTCCTTTCTACTTTTATTATTGGCTCAATACCCGAGTTTCAAATTATTATTGTTATTATTGTGGAAAGGAAAAGGACATAATTATGGATACGAGTTAAGAGTAACTCTCCATCACTGTAACTGGATACTATATACAGTCAGAAAGTGCAATAACTAGGCACAAAACTGACAAGAGTACTGAGACCGTCATTCGACGTCCTGACACCAAGCTTCAACACATCTCCGTAGCGCTAACCGACAGCCTTCCAACTTGGAAGGTTCAAGGTTATGGAAATACCAAAGAGGGGAAGGCAAGCGCAACGAAAACGAGTAAAAGCTATAGTCCCAACGAAACAAAGAATGTCGATTGTTACTGGACGATGACAAGACCAGTACGATATTTGACAAAGCGGTCTAACTACAATTCGAAGCAGCAAAGCAGCACACCACCCAACTTGGGTGGGTCATAAATATCAAAGATAAGTAAAGAAAGGGGAAGCTTTGCGAAAACGAATTGTACATGCCGCTACATGCGTATAGACCATTAGCGCTACATGCGTATAGACCATTAGCGAATCCGCTAACTCACGTTGTCTACTTACCGCCTGTTGGCATATCCGCTGACTCGTGCCATGACATCACTCGCATAATCTCTACACTATGTTAACAGGGTGTGCCTTATACATTCATCGCATGACAAAACAACATTGTACGGTGTACAGTGTACATGAGTCTCCCCATAGACTGAGGAAACACTGTGCTGATGTTGGGATAGCAGAGGCAGTGAATGAGGGAGCAGCCAGTACCATAATTTTTACCATAGTCCATGCATACAACTAGGTGTCACGTTAAAGGGGAAGTTAAGGCAAAAATTAAAATTTCACCAGTTGTAGTCTTCGGGGTGCTGAGTCGAATGGTCTTGGTCCGAGAAAGCTGAGACGCTCCCTTCCTACTTGAATCCCAATCGAACTCGCGCACTTCCACCGAAACTGGGTGACTGCGCCCTACTAGATGGGGATTTGTATGCAAAATATCACTAAAAGCGCCATTGCGTTCTTATAAAAGCATGGATGACCGCGATTGGCCCATATGTTGTAGTCTTTTGGACGCTGAGTCGACTGGTTTTGGTCCGAAAAGGCTGCGATGCAGCGTTCCTCCTTTATTCCCAATCGAACATGGTTGAAGAAGCGGTCACGTGCTCTTGGGTGCCCAAATCACCTGGTCACCACGCCAGCAGGCGACAACTTTCACACCAAGGTTCAACTCGAGTTCAACTCGATCGAGTGACAGGACTGCACCCAAAAAAGGTCAAACAGGCTAGTAAGTTGTACCCT